GAAGGGGAGTGAAGAATGGAATTGAATGGGCAATTCACTTTGGTACTGCTGCTGGCAACATCTTTTCACCTTCAACTACACTACGTTTCAGGTATCATAATCCTAATCTTTCTAGCTTCTACGCAACAAAAAGTCAAGCCCTAGGTTCAAACAATCCCCTGATTTTCTGCAAAATGAGTTAATTATTTCGTTGACTTAATATCCAATACTCTCTAACGAAACCTCAGATAAATAAAATGAACGATTGTAGTAAAGGAATCCTTTTTTTATTAGCAATTAGGCAGTTAATTTTGCCGATCGAGCTATACTGAATTTTGAATTATTCGATAACCCCGTTAATTTTTCGATGTATTTACTTCCAATTTATATTGGTGGATTAGTCACCAACTGAGCAGTGTGTAGACTGCAATTTTATTCTTGATGAAAAGATCTTGACGCTCTTCTCACTAGTAGTTTTTTTCTTTTTATTATTAATCGTGCACTCTTACTTTGTGAGACTACGCTGGCTATGTTGTTATTGTAGTTGTTCATGTATCTAGTGTATGTAGTGTTTTGTAAGGATGCAAAAGCTTCCTACAGTAATCTGATTTAGTATGTGAATATGTTAGGCTAATAAAAAGTATATGTTTAGACATTGGTTTTCACCTTTGCATATAGATCAGAATGTTAACATAGCCAAACTTTTCACATGTGACAAGCTAGTATAGTGATCTACAAAACCAAACTTAATACGGTTCTAATTTAGGTTGCAATTCATATTATTATTAGCGAATTAGAAAGAAGTGCCTAGTGTTTGGAGTTTTTGTAGGGGGTTATTATGGGCCTAGATCATGTGAATAAATAATGACGTTCAAGGAAGCAGCATGCAAGAACTGATCAAATTCATCAAATAGAGGTGGAGTTTTCCAGCATGCTAGAAAATAAGATGGGTAATGGTAATTGTGGCGAAGTCCAGAAATGTTGGGTGGAAAGTGAGGGGTCGCGATGCAGTGCATTCCAGGTGTTAGAACTTAGAGATTATATTATCAGCTAATTGGATTGCTTTTAAGTGGAACTATGAACCACACTTCCTATTTTTAGGTTAGATACTTGTTGCAGAAGCATCGGAGGAAATATTTAGGACCTTTTGTTGTAATGGATCCAAAAGTATATGTGCACATTAAGAGATTGATTAGTATATGTGCACATTAAGAGATTGATTACACATATGGTATTGTAGATACTAAGAAAGTTTGTTTTGGCATGAAGTTGAGGCTGAATGTGTTAGCATCACCTAACATATCTTTTTTTTAATAAGTTATTAAATGGCAAAAATTACAACAAAAAGGGAGATGTCTACTCCTATACAAACACTTCCAGGACAATTAAGGGGCAGGCAAAATCCAAAAAGAGTTCTGCACTAGTGTGAGAACGGTGGGTAAAGATTAGAGGGTATAAAGGAGTTTTCCCTAACCACTGGTTTACACCAATGATTTGTATTGTGTCATAGCATATTAATATGTATACACTATAAATGATATGTTTGAAGGAGATGTCACTAGTGTGAGAACGGTGTGTAAAGGGTATAAAGAAGTTTTTCCTTAACCGTGGGTTTTACACTAAAGATTTGTATTGTGTCATAGTTGTTTACCCTAGTTATAATGGTCCAACTTACCCGTGGCACAATACTGTGTTAACTGATGAAACTAGCAAGGGTAGCAACCAAAAGTTTGACCTATGGAGAAGCACTCTAGAGATAGGGGTGTTGGGATGAGTAGAAGTATGATTGATATATGCACAACAAGTTTTTCTTAACATAATTAGAGTGAAATGAGTGAAGCTATACGGGATTGTAGAGCGTAAGTGCCAACAATTCAGATAGCTATGCTTCATGTTTCAGCTAAATTGAATGTTAGATGAAGATATAACTGGGAAAGTGCTACTGTAGTATTATGCAATAGGAGGATACCTACTAAATTTGAAAGTGCTACAGCAGTGGCAAGGGTCACACCTAGAGGATAACTCTTGTAAAAGAAAACTTGAAAGTAAAATTAGAGAGGTCACTTGAGATGGTGCTGGTCATTTCCTATGTCGACTTCAGAATGCACTGGACCCTAGGTGTAAAAAATCGCTACTGAATGTATTAAATGAGATAGGTAGACCTAAAATCACTGGGCAGAAATCGTCTTGAAAAACATATGATCTCTTAGAATACGTAGCAAAGAAATTGCAATAATGGAAGGAAAAAGTTCATATAGGTGGTACCAAGTAATTGGGATTAAGTTCATGTATTATGCATATTTAGGTTTGTTAGGAGTTGCTTAATCTTGTTAGATATTTGTGTGCAACCTATAATGAAAAAGATATATGTATGCCAATAGAAAATGTAGTGACTACCCCTGTAAGAGAGCATAAAGTATTGAATTTAGCAGATTCTAAATGAAGGGACTTGAATAGTGAGGATTCGTATCTCCAACTCCAACTAGCTTGAGATTGATGAACAGTTGTTGTGTAGTGATGTTGTCAAAGTTTTAACTGATTGTAAGAAATGCGAAATCATACTACTTGGATAATGGGGGCTCAAGATATTATGATCTGATTATTAATACAAGTCAAGAGTATTAATTTTGAAGATCTTAAAGAAAACATTGATGGGTCTCAATTAAGATTTTTATTTCTAATATCTTCTTTTCTTACAATGAGTTACTGAATCATTCAAATACAGGTAAAGATAATGGAGTTTGCATTTCACCTGGTGGTCGCTTTCCTAGATTTTCAAATGAAGGAAAACCTCCAAGAAAAGTAAAAAAGGGACCAAGAGATTTGAACCTCTGTAGGGTATTTCGTGGGAAAACTTGCTGTGATGTAACACAGACACATCCTGCTTTTATGTCCATTAGGAGGCTTGCTTCAACTGGAGAAGCGAGCCAGGAGTGCTTGCACTTATGGGAGATGTTAGAATGTTCAATCTGTGATCCACGTGTTGGTGTGCAGGCTGGACCCCCTGTTTTGTGCACCTCTTTCTGTGACAAAGTATACCAAGCTTGCTCCAACGCATACTTCTCCGTTGATGCTAAGACACAGGTTTGTTTAGAGTTCAAGTTTGTTAACAGAATTTTTAGATGAGTTATTTAGCAATGGAGTATCTAAATCCACCAGACAATAGCTTTTGTTCGATATTTTTGATTTGGTATTTTGGATCATATACAAAGAAGCTGCTTTTTGCTCCTTTGGTTGAGCTCATTAGCTCAATGCCTACGACATCAATTTTAGTTTCTTGTCATGTTTGTACTTATCAGTTATTGACATATTTCACATCTGATTATAAATTACATGTCAGGTTCTAGCACCCTGTGCTGTAAACGACTTTGTGTGTGGTAGAGCGTCCGAATGGATCTCTAATGGGACAGAGCTCTGCCGCGTTGCAGGTTTTTCTGTGAAGTCTTTGTCTGATGATCCAGAAGAAGTTTCTTGCTATGGTGGAAAATCTAGTGTGGATTATATTGCCGATTCATGGCAGACTTCACGATCCAAGGTGCAAGAGAAAGCTGACAGTTCTGGTTTAGTGGAAGATTTCAAGCAATGGCTGGAGGACATGACATTTAAAGAGAGAATATCTTGGGCTGTAGGAGGCATGGTTCTTACAGCAGGACTTCTATTTACCAGGTGAGTCAACTCCTATTTAGTAGTTATTTTTTAAATTCCTTCAGAATAAAAAGAAAAGATAACTAAAGACAGTCTAATTTTGAGCTTCGTGGACTCTCTCGCACACTGTTGTAGTCTTAGAATGCTAGTTGTTACTAAGAGCCGTATAATCACGTGGACTCTGATTCTTACTCTGTTAGAGTGATCATCATGCATTTGAAAGTTTGTTAATGTCTGTACACTTGTGATATCATACCTCATCACTGTCATTTACGTTTACCATGCAGTCAAAGGAAAAGCCATAGGCAACGCCAGAAACTAGCGGCCCTCCAACGTACTGCCAAGAAATTAGAAGGAAGGGGGAGTCCAAGATCTCCTACAACATTAGGAAGCCTAAAGGGAAGTTAAAGATGATAACTAACTCCTTACTAAAAGGAGGAATTTAATCTTGTTATTATACTCCCTGATGAAATTAGCAATGAATACAGATTTAATTGTTATTGTACTTCAAGTGTGGACCAGTGAAGAAATTTTTTGGTGCAACTCTGATGTCGCTGCCTCTCTCTCTCTCTACCTCTTTTATCTTGTTACATATGGTGCCATTCTCAGAAACCATATTGGTCTTGACTTTAAAGGCAAGTTCGATAACATGAAAACCGCTGGAATCTATAAGCCGTTTCAGTTGCCTTGTGATAGAATCAAGTTGAAAGTGCAGGCACGAGTCCGATTACAGAAAAAGATCAGTTGCAGTGCTTGAATTTACACTTGGTTTTTTGAAGTGATGGAATAACCACATCATTTTACGCAGATTTAGGGATTGTTAATGGATATTTTTTTCTGTTAATTACCAAAACACTACTATTAAATCAGCTTTTAATTAAGAATGAACGGTTAAATTTTGAGGAAGTTTTTGATAGATTTAAAATCGTTCATCTTTCCAGTTACCAGTTGGCTTTTTGACAACTATGTCATGAATATGAATATAGTCGTCAATCAAACATGAATCCACCCTTGTTCAAAGACTGTAAAAGAAAGCAATTATATTTTGCTGATACTAAATTTCTATATTTGATATACTGGTAAAATATAATGAACTTATTTGAAGCGTATTTTTAGGGGTATAATTATTACGGCAAAATTATAATTTTTGTTTCACTCAAAGAGAGAGGCATGTGACGTACTGACGTAGCTAAGGGCATGAGGGTAGCATTTTCATCATCAAGTAATCATTATATTGCAATTACAAAATGGTTGTGTTACCAATAAAACAAATGATTCATAAAACTGGTAAGTTCACAGAATTTTACAAAATGGTTGTGTTACCATTAAAACAAATGATTCATAAAACTGGTAAGTTTACAGTATTTTGTAAACTATTGAATGGTAAGAAATAGCAACTCATTCACGATCAACAATTATCAAATTTCTTAGTGCTAGTAAATACAAGAAATAAACAAAAGGTGTCTAAATTAAACAACTGAAACATCTTACGTTTTTCTGAGGATACGTTATGTTGCTGATTTACAGAATTCTTTTTTCCTTTAGTTGTAATAATACCCTTGGCCTATCCACAGTTTCCAAAGCCGAAAAAGGTATTTGGAAAGGATGGCTTGTGTCAATAACAACAAAATATAAAGAGGAGTGCTTGCCATTCTTCACTATATACTGGATAAATCTCCATGTACACTTTCTACTGTATCACATCCCTCCAGCCTTGGGTGGCTGTTCAAATCAAAGAAAAGAACCGTAAGATATCTCGTAGAATCTTCACTGCAAAAACTTACCAAGACTGGGGCGGCTCAACACAATCATTGGCCTAAAACTAAAACTTAATAAGATACATAAATATTTTTATTAAATTGTTCTACAAAGGAAAATGACAACAAATGTACGGGAATCAAAACCACAGGATATATATCCTAATTAATGAGAGATGCAAATGCAACCTTATTTTCTCACCTATTTAAACTCCTCAAACTAAAATCTAAAAAAAATGAAACATTATATTTATGACAATTAGAAAAATTACATCTTATATAGAAATAAACCACTTCCAAGTTTTTTAATATGAGGAATTATAATTTTCTTGTATAGTGACATTAGAATGCATTAAGGCTTTTAGTTAAATGACTTTAGAACTTTGTTTGATATTTTAGAACTTTTATTCAAATTTTTTTAAGTTTTTAGTTAAATGACAATAGAACTTTGTGTGATATTTAGAACTTTACCACTCAAGAGTTTATTATTTGGGGTCTTTTAACTGTTGGAGGCCTAAAGCAAATTCTTATTGGCCTTACCCTTGAGCCACCATGACCAATACAAACTCTTTCATGTCGAAATCACAAAGGTAAGTGGTAACTTGAAAAAATATATGCAAGATTATCATACCTTCTTAAGGGGCAACTTTGAACTGCTAGATAATACCGGTTTCAATATTTCAAAGGAGCATACAAGTTGCTCATCAACGCTTAACAAGGCACCTGCATTATCAAATTCTCCACCATAATTGGGAGCAGAAAATAGAGTCACAAGTCTTCGCTTAGCAAAGAATTCATATCCATCCTCCACCACCTAAAACAAAATTTTACGATCAAAATACATAATGGGCAAACATAAAACTTAAGCAAATTGAAATATTAAGGGCTTAGAAGCAAAGCTGGCAACTACTACAGAAGTAACATTATTGAAGTGCTTCAACAATGACTGTCGTTCTGAATTGCCCCAATATTTGGAAGAAAAAAAACAGAACATTTTTTCATGAGAAACATATGAAATTCTGTAGTATGAGCATCTTTTAGAAGTGGACACAAGAAATGCCTGAATAGCATCCACCTATTTGTAAAAGACTTTTTTTCCGTATCTTAACAATGATAATGCAATTCTAGTTTTGACCGGCCAGAGTATAGTATACCTGATGACCCCGGCAGATGAGGTCTAACTCATTCTTAGCCAAAAATTCAGCAACAACGTCAGGTCCAAAAGTACAAGAAACACCTCGATCACTATCTGACCAACCCTTAATTCTAGGATCAGGATCAGCCCACAACAGATCACACAACAAGCCACCATCTGGAATCTCAGCTGGCCGCTCAATTTCGTTTATTAGGTCCAAACTTTTTAGCTCTGGCGAAATCCCACCATGCATGCAAAGGATCTTTTCATCTATAAGTGCAGCAACAGGCAAGCAATTAAAGCAATCTGTAAATATCTTCCATAGCCTAACATTGAATCTCCGTTTACATTCATCATAAAATCCGTAGACCCTGTTGATTTTCGCATCTTCATGGTTCCCCCTAAGGAGGAAGATCTTGTCGGGATACCTTATTTTGTAAGCCAAGAGCAAACATATTGTTTCTAAACTCTGCTTGCCTCGATCAACATAATCTCCAAGAAAAAGGTAGTTTGCTGAAGGAGGATAGCCTCCATATTCAAAAAGTCTTAATAAGTCTTGGAATTGCCCGTGTATGTCACCTGCAAGAATGGAAAAGGAAAACAATAAATTCACTAGAACATTAACCAGCTGACGACGAGCAACATTTATGGCATCCCATTAGAAACTAATTGTTCTATCACAAGCAAAACTTTTCAAGAATCTGATAAAGGGCCTCCAAAAATTACTCCATTAGAGATGATCAAACATTTCACAGACACTAGAATTTTGGTAATGCAAGTCTACTATCTCAGACGTCAAATTTACCCAATTTTGTTACATCAGTTTTCCTACATAGTAAACCACAATTTGTCTATATAACCAAACTCTAGCATTGCATAGCTATCTATCTATGAATACTTATCCTGTAATAAACCAAAATTCACCTTCAATTGCTCATTGTATATGCAAAAGTTTAAATCAAATAAATACTATCTTATTTTTGTACAAGGACATCAATCTTTTCAATCAAATATATAGCTTTCTCGGTCACAACAAAACAGTGAATTAGAAACATCCATTTTTAACTTTTTCTTAATCATCATAGAATAGATCTCAGGTTCAATTTTCAGCAATGATACAACAACAAATATAGATGGTAAGACAAACAATCACATATAAAAAATTCATCAAGTATAGAAGCGCATGAGATTGGAAACATACCACAGATCCTAACGGGGGCACGAATCCTGAGGAGATTAGGCTGAGAGAGGAAAATCTGTCTGGCATTAACACAAAGCTGTCGGATCTCAGCCTCAGATAGCTGAACTTGTTTCCCTCCCTTCTCTTCTAATAACCTCCCTATTATATCATCCAATACCCCTTTTTCCATCAATCCCTCCATTTTTTCAACAATCTAAACAAGTTTTGTGACATGAACCAAATGTAATTGACTTACTCAACAACCCACAGATGAAACAAGAAGAAGAAGAAAAAGGGGGTATTGCGTATAAGTAGGAAAAAGCAAAATGGATTATTATTAAATTATGATAAGGGAAGAAAAAAGGGGAAGTGGGGTGAAGGAAAGCTTAAGAATGAAGGTAGAAAAAATGGGTAATTGGATGCGTGCTATGCTCGTCTATTCTCCTATTATCTCTCTTTATTTGTCCTCCATTCTTTTTCTTCAATATTATATATATTATATTTGGTTGGAATAAAAATGTGACAACTGCCCAAAGAAGATTCAAAAGAGTTGAAATCTTCAAATTAGCAACTCTTTTTTGTGTTGTCTATTGTCTTTCTTGTGTATAAGGCGCGGCGGGCACGATCATTTTGGACCAAAACATACCTACATACACGTGCTCACTTCGTGGCAATGGGAATGTTGTATCATCTACCTCTTCTCTTTTATCATGTTTCCTCTTATTTTATTTATACTCTCTCTCCGTCCTAATAATTTGACTTGATAGTAGACAAAGATTTTTAAATTTGTGGTCTAAAATAAATTGTGATTATAGATTATTTTTATGAAATTAAAATAAATATTTTAAAGTTAAATTGTTACTGAGTATAAAATATGTTATTGCAAATATTTGTTATTTTACATATTCGAAGAGGAAAAGAATGGATAACAAACTAGACAACAATTGTTCCCTAATTATTGAACTTAAATCCGTGATACTGTAAATGACCTATTATAAAATTGGGATTTTAACGCACTTTGATTAAGTGCAGTTCCACAGCACAACACATTAATAAAGAACAATTTGATGTTAATTTTATAACGGCCAAAATCAACTTAATTCTGTTGGATAGAAACAAAAGGGAAAACTATTTACAAACGGCTATTATTTACTTTTATACCATCTATTTTTAATTATTAATACGCGTTTACTATTCGATACTATCATAGTATATATACTGTGATGGTATCAAAGAGAATATGCAGTGCTTTAGTGAAAACACTACTTAATTACTCCTTAATATCATTTGAATATATAATCAGGTAAATAGTTTAGGTTATGGGTCCAATCAGGATAAATACATTGGGTTGGATGCAACTAACCGGAGAACTTTATTAAATTGAATAGAGAGACCAAACCAATTGGACCATTTCCCTGTCTTTGGACAAGTGGGCTAGTCCATAGCAGCGTCATTGGGCTTTTTACAACTCCAAACAAAGGAAGGAATTGCTCCCATTATCCATACATGAGCGGTGAACAAAAAAAAAGTATAAATTATAGGAACCACATATCATAAGTACTAAACAACATCCTATCCCTTCTAGTTTTTTATTTACCAAAAATCTCTTAAAAATGATGTTTGCGGGATACATAGCGTTGTGCACGGGATACATTAGGTTTGATACATTCCACATAGCGGGATACATAGCGTTGTGCACGGGATACATTAGGTTTGATACATTCCACATAGCGGGATACATAGCGTTGTGCACGGGATACATTAGGTTTGATACATTCCACATAGCGGGATACATAGCGTTGTGCACGGGATACATTAGGTTTGATACATTCCACATAGCGGGATACATAGCGTTGTGCACGGGATACATTAGGTTTGATACATTCCACATAGCGGGATACATAGCGTTGTGCACGGGATACATTAGGTTTGATACATTCCACATAGCGGGATACATAGCGTTGTGCACGGGATACATTAGGTTTGATACATTCCACATAGCGGGATACATAGCGTTGTGCACGGGATACATTAGGTTTGATACATTCCACATAGCGGGATACATAGCGTTGTGCACGGGATACATTAGGTTTGATACATTCCACATAGCGGGATACATAGCGTTGTGCACGGGATACATTAGGTTTGATACATTCCACATAGCGGGATACATAGCGTTGTGCACGGGATACATTAGGTTTGATACATTCCACATAGCGGGATACATAGCGTTGTGCACGGGATACATGCGGGATACATAGGTAAATAAGGGATTTCTGAATTTTTTTTAAATAAGTAGGGATAAATGGATATTAAGGTAAGTAAAGGAGTGTAGTAAAGTAATTTGTCCAAAAAAAAAATTCATACATGAGCAATTTGATAAACTTATTAGTTGAACACTTGAACTTAATAATGAATGCGGAACAATGCTTTGATCATAAATACTAAGGTTTTGAAGACTTTCAGCTCATCACGGAAGAATGATGAATTCTTCTTGATATGCATGCGAAAGACTTGTTTATCATCATTATTCATCTATAAAAAGGAAGATTGTTTTATATAACACGTAAGATTGAGGAAGACTTTTGATTAATCTCTCTTCTGGTGAAATGCCTCCAGAAAGTTATGGATGCCTTCTCTCAAATTTTCAATAATCTCGTAGAGATAATGTGCAACACCTTTAATTAATTATAGTTGTAGGGGTACGTCGACAGTCCAAATGTAGATAAACTTTTTTTTGCAAGACTTTGATCAAGATTATTACAAAGTCAATGTGACAAGCTAAGTTTGCATATTGTAATTGGCCCAGACATGTCAATTTGGGCAGTTGATGACTTTGTACATGTCAATTTAGACCAAATGAAATAATACATGCTACCTTATATTATAAATAATACAAAGTACAAACCTTTATGAGGTAGCCGTGACACTAAAACTCGCAGCATATTTTACATACAAATACTCATGTTTTCAAATTCTTGAAAAACATTAACAGCTAGCATCAATAGGGTTGTTCGTCATCACATTGTTTCAACATATAACTATACTGTAATGTTAAATTTTCATATCATTTTTCACTTTGCAAAAAAATATTTTTTTTCAAGTTTGATGAATTAGGGTTGTGGTAAATGACATATATAGCCAGCTGCATTGCTCCCAGAAACCATCGCATAAAATTTGGTACCTTTACGAAATCACATTATATGTTGTTAATTACTAGTAATTAAACATAATTAGGTTATCCATGTATATTAGCCAAATATTCGTGTTTAAGGCATTGTTGATTGATTGAACTATTTTGTGATACCAAATTGTGTCTAGTAATTAATATAGTTGAATCCTGAAAAATATATTGTGTATATGTACGTATGAAAATAAGATTAAGTACTTGTAATTATTTACAAAAATACTATAAGACCATATTATAATAAATCCAACTTGTAGCCAGTAGGTAGCTGAAAAGAGAAGTCTTCTTTTTTCAATTACAAGTGGCCTAGACTGTGTTTGGTACAAAGGTTTTGAAATATGTTTTCTAAGAAAATATGAGTTTTTATTTTTTTTGTTTGTTTGGTAAGTTAGTAAAAAATATTTATTTTTAATTTATACAAATATTATAAAAGATTAGGGTAGAAAGGTAGGGGTGTGAGATGCTGGAGATGAGATGTGTTGGAGGATGGGGACGATACAATTAATTTGATCATGATATCTTTTATTTTCTACTACTTATATAAAGATAAGATGAGGATGTTAAAATAAAACTTACTCCAAGAAACCAGTTAGCATTTTGATCCATAAATATTAGTAACTCTGATAAAACTCAAGTCAAAATCTAATCAATACTAATGCTAACACAAAATAATAATTCAACCCAAAGAATGACAATAATATTGAATATTTGTTCTTTAGTTTTACATTAGTTTAAAGCATGTTTTCAAAAAAAGAAATATTAAAATAAGTAAAGAAAACATAATTTAATTTCTAAAAAACAAGAAACAATAGTATATCGGTATAAAAAATAATAGTGTTAGTGAATCACTCAACGAGAACATAATGGTGTGAGGGGCCCTCTTTTCAACCTTTTTGGCAATGAATAGAACTGTAATATGTTAAAAGATAAAAATTATGAAAAAGTATAAAAAATATTTAAAAATTATATCAAAGTATATAATCTTATGTATAAAATAAACTTTATACTTAGGTTGACTTTTTTTTAATTAAAATCAAACCAACCTAAATATAGTTAGAATTTTTTTTCTCAATACTAAATCAAATCAAACCAAATTATTAGTCAAGTTCTTTTTTCATTTCACTCAATTAATAATTTGAGTTGATTTTCGATTAGATTTTGTATAGAATATGTTATCTTTAAAGTGGAGTACTGTAGATAAGAAAAATGTTATATCAAAAAGATACTAATCTTAATGAGGTGCCTCGTGGCCGTGACACTAAAACTCACATTATACTCAAATGACATACAAATAAATACTCATTTTCCAAATTTTTGAAAACATTAATTAACTAATGCATAACCAAAAGATATAATATAATTAGCACACATGATTTTCATTTCATGTAACAGCTAGCAATAGAGTTGTTCAACAATCAACATCTCTTTGCTTCAACATAAAATAATTAACCTTATGTTTTTACTCTTGAGTTTTAGCTGGAAGAATGTGGTAGCAGGCACTCCGTTTGGTCCTCTAATTGTTTTGATGAATTAGGGTTCCGGTAAATGACGTAAATAATCAGCTGCACTGCTCCCAGAAAGCATCCCGTCCCATTTGATACCTATTGTGATTTGTGACAATATTGCATCATATATATAGTTAAGCAGTCATTAAACTTAATTAGGACTAAAATCATCAAATTTGACTACTGTACAGGGGCGGAACTAAGGGTGGTCAGTCGAATACCATTTGCCGGAAAATTAGATGGTGCATATAGATAAAATATTCTTTATTATGTCGATATATTAATAAATGAACACCCTTAAACATAACAAAGGCTTGTGGTTCAACGGTAAGCGCTCTCATTTAAGAGCCTAAGGTCCTTGATTTGATTCTTGCTTGCTACATTTTAACAATTTTATTTTTTTATAAAAAGGAAATAAACAGAAATAGTTGTCCCGTATCTTTTTATTTCTAGCCTTAAATTTTACTCTCTGTGTCCACTCTTAATTATAATAGTTTCTTTATTTAGAATCAAACGATAAAATTTTTGACTAACACTTTACTATATTTTTTCATGATATTCCTAACGTGACAAAACATAATAATTGAGAATCTCGAGTAACTTGGGCAAAGTTACTAAAATAGAGATAATTCATCATGTTATAATAAAAATGGTCCTATATATAGAAAGTCCATTTGTTCCTAACCTGAAACTCTAATGAAAAATTTAAAAATATGATTCACTTATAATCCTTACCTAGTTGGATTAATAATAGGTTGTTGTTAGATTGGAAAGTAATAATCTATGACTCTATTTAACATATAGAAAATTAAGAAGATTAGCATTTTATCGATGTCAAGTAATGACATGTATAGTACTTGCATTGATCCCAGCTCATAAATGCTTACATTAATTACTTGGCGTGCAGAAACGTGATGTAGATTGCAAACTATACATATCATCAGATTTTTTGTCTACTAATAAATGATGAGTATTGAATATTGATGATAGAAAACTTACTCCAACAAACCAGTCACCCACAAGCAGGGCGTACAAAGTCCAAACGCCACCATTTAAGAAAAGGAAAAACGATAGAAAAAATGGCATATACTCTACACTCTTCGTTGTCACCACTGTTTTCTGTTAAAATAAATAATTATGAGTCATCCAAAAAAAGATTCAAATATAAATTAAATTAGATAAACCTTTCAGTAATTAATTACTTTCCAAATTAAATCATAACACATGAAGATTAAATAGGCAAATTACCACAACACCAAAAGGGGAGCTATACATGATGATGGTTAAACCTGCGGTAAGGAAACCAATTACGTTAATTCTCATTTGACCATGTAAAAGTAACTGTCCCAATAATAGAATTGTTCCTAAAATCCCCAAATTCAGAACCCCAGCTAGGCTGGCTGTCTTATTCTGTAAAAAGGAAAAGAAAAAAAAAGGAGACATGAGTTTGTATATATATATAGTTGTTATAAAGGAAAGTTAATAAAAAAGTACGAGTTAAAACCTGAAAAAATATTTAAAGAATTATATAAGAATGTGTCTCTAATTCAAACATAAAACTTCTTTTAATTTATTTTTTAACCATCTCTGAGAGGAAACATTTTTAGAGCACTATCAAGATTAGAAGATCTTGACTTTTTTAAATTGATTCTTGTAATGTAATATTTCATCATTCTTCTAAGTGTATATATATCTCTATCGAACGATTCACTTGTTATCTTTTGTGTAGCTGTATAATATAAAATTTTCCAAAAATATGTGCATGTATAAATTATTTTTCTTTTATGAAATTTTTGAATGTTATGTCTAGAACAGAATTAAAAATTCCAGTTTGTATGGACACAAAATAACAGGACCGACAGCCTAGTTGCCTAACTATAGTTCATTGGAAAGAACTTCAAAATATTTTTCTGCTGCCACAAAATTTTCTCTTCAATAAACTTTATTTGCTTTTTAGTTGGACCCTATACTAGTTACTAATTATTATTACGAAGAACCACATATTTGAGTGTCAGTTCTAATAGAGTTCGTAATTCCACCTACATGAAAGCCTCAAATAGTTTTTTTTTTTTTAAAAAAGTTCCAAATTACTATTCAACTAACAAAAGCAGGGTAAATATTTAATTATATTGAGTGTTCACATCAAACTATAAAAATTTATTATAAATATAAGTAATTTAACAAGATGAAATTGCATATAAATTGATCATAATTAAGTGCAACGAGTTTATCTACAAATACATGACGTGTATTTATTGATTTTTAGTAAATATCATATGCGAATAAGTTTTTTCTCAAAACAGCTCTTCCAAAACATAATCCAAATTCTTGCATTTGTTTTGTACCAAAAAAATAAAAAAGTATAGCAATTTTCCCAAAAATAAACTCAATAATAATCATTCTCTAATCAAAATGCATCTTTAGAAAAAATAAATTATAAGATCACTTAAACATATAGATCTGTCAAGATGGCTATATTTTACATAAATTGCACCCAGTAATTTTGGTTGAAATACTTATGTCTTGAAAAATCATTTAACATGTACGAATTATCAATTCAGAATCAAATGGACGAATAATGCAACAATTCAGTTTCCAAGTGTACTATGATATTAATTAGATTACTCACTCTCATTTTTGGATGAGCAAATTGAAGGAACAAAGCAATGTAGATAGTCTCAACAATGACTCCAAAGCCATTGACAGTAGAGACAAGGTAGCTGCCTGGCTTAATAATTCCATAGTAAGTCCACAATGATGAGTTAAGCAATGTACAAATGTACGGAAGGCTATCAAAATCCTCTGTTGATCCATTCTTTACTATTCTATTAAATGTCCCTCTGCACATTTTCCACAAATTAAAAGTTCATTACAAAAGGGATCAGAGCCATAAACATAAAGAATTAACAATTTTAACTAAATAATACTCATAAGTTGAATTTTTTTTGGGTCTTTTAAATTACTTACACTGGGGAAAGAAACACGAGACCTGAAAAGATGTTACCTACCAAAAAATTAAAGAAGAAGCACAATTCAGCAAAAAAAATAAAATAATTAACAACATTTGTATTAAGAGAAAATTGACTAAAGATGTTAATCCCAAAATGGTTCTTTTTTGGTAAAAAAGTAAATCTCAAAGTGCTGTGAATGATTTAAGATGAAATAGTAATACCTAAGAATCCAATGATGAAAGGAAGATTTTCCATCTTGACCCTTTAGGAAGAGGAGCACAAATGTGTGTGTCTGGGTGTGTGTGATCAGACAGAGAATGAGAATTGTATATATACCATCTACAAATATGGTGCAGTGGACGAGTTGTTTCTCTTGAAAGCAAACGAGTTGATTAAATTTATAATGTATAAAGTACTATCTCAAATTATATGGTTTTATTTGGGCCATGATATATGTACGTTCGGTCCTTAATAAATTCTGGAAATGACATTCTTTTGGTTTCAATGTTGAATTGTACATGTTTTAAGCTGTTGTTGTACTGTGTCTGTCGTAGTTTTTTTAGCTCCAAAAAAACAACGAAAGTTGAAATTTTATCGGTATTTATTAATTGTCATTGATTTTAATATTGTTATAAGCTTTAATGAAATTTATTAAGAATAGTGCTAAAATGTAATTGACACTAATAATGGACTTTAAAAATATATATTCAGTAACAATTAAATTATAATTATTAATTAATCATCGTTAAAAGATCATTTTTGGTTTAATGGTAACTCTTTATTAAAATGTTGTCAAATCTAACAACTGAAATGTGGTATTCACAATTTCTTCTCTTCTATTTTATTTATAGATCTTTTGATTCTTTCCGATTTCTCTTTCTGACAATTCCACCTATTCTTCCTGGTCCACAATAATACTACTTACTACTTCTTCTTTTTAATTTGGCTGACTTAATTATTGTACGAACAGTTAATTAAAAAAATTATTTATCATAATTTATATTATTTAAAAAAAAATTAACAATCATAATATATATATATATATCCAAATTCACATTGAATTAATTAATTTAATCCTTAATATACTCATATTAAAGCAAACAAATCGAAACAAATGAAAATTCATATCTGCCACATCTTTAAGAAATAGGACCGTAAAAAGCAATTACTTTATGGGCGACCATTATTGTTGTCCTGGAAATAAAATTTTAAATTATTGGATCGCCAAAAATATATAAATATCTCTTTTTGCTTGAGAAAATATTTGTTGTTATCTTTCATTTTGGGAAATGCAAAAATGTAAGTTCCTTGTTTGATTTCATTGGATTTTTTTTATAAGTGGTATCACCCATTTAAAGTAGATAAATATGTAAAAGTAAAAAATAAGACTGAGCGATCAAATTTAAACCCAAAACCTCTCACACAAAATTAGAAATTTTGGGTTCAAACTTCAAAGAAGATGAACAAGAGTATTTCCATAGACCAAATGAAATAGTACATGTAACATTCAAAGAAGATAAGAATATGGTATGCCCCCAAAATATCGACCTCTATCAAGAAACTGTGACCTAAGTCGTTTGGACTCTTCAAAAATATTGTCATATTTGTGTTAAATCCTTCAAAAACACTATTTTTAGAGGATTCAACACGCATCCATAGATTTGTTTAGAAGAGTCTGAACAACATAGACCGTCACACTAATACTCGCAACAGATTAAAATGAAATAACAAACAAATAGTACTTGTTGCGTTGGGTGTATATATTTACTGTAGTGTTGGGGTGGAAGAAGGTGGCAGCAAGCGTTCCGTTTGGTCTCCTTGTTCTAAATCTTCCACAGATGAATTAGGGCTGCGGTAAATTACATATATAACCAGCTGCACTGCTCCAAGAAACCATCCAATTCCATTTGGTACCTTTTGTCAAATCACATTATATTATATACACTTAATAATTACTTGTAATTCAACTTCATTAGGCTATTGATCATATATATATATACTTCTATTGAAAAATTTGCTAAATATTTGTGTTTATGGCGATTGATTAATTGATTTCTTCATGATAAAAGAACTAGATACAACTCCCTCTGTTCCAATTATGTGACATAATCTTCTATATTTACTTCTAATTTAATTTATAAATGTCAACTTTACTTTTAATGAGACGATTTATAGTCACAAATATTCATCACTTGTTTTAGATCACAATTTTATTTTTTTTAAATCTTTCTTTCTTTCTTAACAAAATCACATATATTAAGACAGGGAAAAAAATAATATCATTGGATCTGAAAACTAAAGATTGTGTAAAGAAACTTATCGTACATACGTGCATAAATAAGACTAAAAAGATTTGTGTAAAGAAATTTATCGTGCATATGTGTGTAAATTAAATAAGACTTAATTAGTACTTGTAATACTAGACAATAATATTATAATAAATCCAACTTGTAGGTAGCTAAAAAGAGAAGTCTTCGTTTCTTAATTAGAAGTGGGCGCGTCATGAATATATTGTTACAGGTAATTAAATTATAAATTGATTACATAAACTTGTCTCAAGCCACTTGCCGCTTTATGCGTGATCCTTCTGAATTTAAAAAAAAATTCGTGTTCCTTATTCAAAATATACTTGGATTGGCTTATTTCAAATTCTTTTATGTTAAAATAATTTTTAAACAGTTTTAAAGTGTTTGGAGAATATGTCATCAAAAAATTGTACGAAAAAATAAAAATATATTTTGATGAGGAATAGAACTTACTCCAAGAAACCAATCACTCACAAGCAGGGCGTACAATGTCCAAACGCCACCATTTAAGAAAAAGAAAAATGAGAGAAGAAATGGCATAAACTCAACACTCTTACTTCTCACCACTGTTTTCTGCAAAAATAAAAAATAAAAAAATTGAAAGGGTTACTTATTTTTAAAAAAAGGTAGCCCACATGAAACTGAATTAGCTTTTTTTATGTTTTATAAATTCAGTATTCCACGTTTAGATAGTCTGACTAATTCGAATTTGCATAATGTAGGACTTACAAAAGATTTAGCACACCATTTATTATTTAGAATTTCACCATTTTCAAAAAGGTCAAAGTTGATCCATATCATCACCATACTACTTGGTGGTATTTAAATAACTAAAGTACATCACAAAAATTGCTAGAGATTATCTCATAAAAATATATATGTGCAAGAATCAAGTACATACATTTCTAGCACGTAACATATATAGACCATAACATTTAAATTTTGGATTCATTATTTTATGTATATATTTTGTTTAGACCATAATTTGACAAAATTAGGAGAATTGGGAAATTACCATAACACCAAGAGGGGAGCTATACATGATGATGTTTAAACATGTGGACAGGAAACCAATAATGTTAATTCTCATCTCTCCATATAAAATGAACTGCGCCAATAATAGAATCGTTGCTAAAATCCCCACATTCAGAATCCCAGCTAGGATGCCTGTATTTTTCTGTATAAAGAGGACAGCAAAACATTAGTTTTTCAGTAATTATAATTATGAGTTTTCGACTTTTTAGTGAATTTTTTCACCACAAAAATAATTTAAAAAGTAGTTGATGATATTTTGGGAATATTATCCCTCGTGCTTAATTTTTCTCGCTAATAATAAAGTATGCTGGGTCATTCTTGTCCAGTAGTGTGGACAAAAGATGTACACATTGACAGCCCCTCAGGTGCATCATTACCGCACAATTTGAAAACAACTTCTCTATAGGGTGTGTTTGGTATGAAGGAAACATTTTCCAATTTTCTCATGTTTGGTTGGGTTAAATGTTTTCCAAATCAACTCATTTTCCTCAAATTTAAGGAAAATGACTTCCCTTCAAAACTTAAGGAAAACATTTTCCAAAACTCTCTTCCAACTTAAGGAAAACATTTTCCAATTTTAAGTTTGTTTTTTAAAATATTTTCAATTTCAAAATTTCATTTTTTCACCCCTACCCTCGACCTTAACCTTAACCTAGCTAACAAAAGAAGCTCTTCCAAAATAAAATCCAAATAGTCACATTTGTTTTTGTAAAAAAAACAAAAAAACATGTCAATTCTTCCAAAATAAACTCAAAAGTAATCATTTATATATACAAAATTTAGAATGCAATAACTCAGAAAGGCTAAAAAATTCGAACCTATAGAGATCGACTTCAAATTCTGACTCCGGACCCATGATGCAATAATTCAGTTTCTTAAGTGCACTATACTATGTGATTAATTAAAGTATTACTCACTCTCATTTTTTTATCAGCAAATTTGAGGAACAAAGCAATGTAGATAGTCTCAACGATGACTCCAAAGCCATTGACAGTAGAGACAAGGTAGCTGCCTGGCTTAATAATTCCATAGTAAGTCCACAAAGATGAATTAAGCAATGTACAAATGTATGGAAGGCTATCAAAATCCTCTGTTGATTTATTCTGTACTATTCTTCTGAATGTCCCTCTGCAAATTAAAAATAAAAATTTAACAATTTTAACTTATATTATAAGTTATAACTAAGAATTCATTTAGTGAGATAGAAAAAATAATTCAGGGATAAAATTTTGGAGTCTTGTTTGATTGTCAAGTTAGAGATAACTTATCACATCATTTTATACCATTGTGATGGGATAAGTTATCCCAAGATAGCTAATCCGGCATAATTAATCCTGAAATAACTTGTTCCCAACCAAATGAGCCCTAATTAATTACTTACACCGGTGCAAGAAACATGAGAACTGAAATGATGTTGCCTGAAATTGGAGAAAAATAACACATTTCAGCACTAAAAAGTATATATCAAATCAGTGAATATATATTTGAGATGAAATATTATATATTACCTATGATTCCAATGATGAAAGGAAGAGTTTCCATCTTGACACTTGAGGATGAGGAGAAGCAGGAGAAATATGTGTGTGCAAGAGAGAGAGAGAGAAAGAGAATTATTGTATATGAGAAGCTAGTATTTTCTTTTTCTGGCTTTATATAAATAGGCTAATGACTTGGATTATGCACTAATGGGAAATCGATATATTTTCTTGGTTGTTTAATCAAATAGAATTAAGGGATTTTCTAGTTATTTAATAACAATGAAAAAGGTTGTTAGTTTTTTTATATATAAGTTGTATTCTTTGAGATAGTTTGCACACACCTCGATTAAGTATATCATTAGATACATGTTATCTTTCATAGCCACTACGATAAAAACAGTTTTTAGCGGTAATAAATTAACATATTAATGAAGAGTGTTAAAACATTTACCTATATTAGTTAATTGCCATTGGATTCAAAATCATTAATTATAAGCTTTATGGACATTTACAAGAGTACTAATAACTGCTAAAAACATATACTTAGCCACTAAAAACTATTTTTGATGTAGTAATGAGCAGAGATATTAGAGAAATCCATCTATTATAGAAAGAAATTACCTTGCCTTCGTTGAGATTTGAAACTGA